TGGTCATGGTGCCAGTTTTGGGTGCCCCATGGTGACAGTGCCAGCTTTGGGTGCCCCATGGTGATGGTGCCACCAGAGCCAGCGCTGGGTGGCCCGTGGTGATGGTGCCAGTTTTGGGTGCCCCATGGTGACGGTGCCACCAGTGCCAGCTCTGGATGCCCCATGGTCACCAACCCCCCACCCTGTGCCCCTCCAGCTGCCCCCCACCACGTCCAAGTGTGGGCATCGCACAGCCTCTTCACCACCGGTGACAACCTGACGGTGACGTGTCGGGCAGAGGGCAACCCCCCACCAGAGCTGCGCTGGGAGATGCCCACCAATGCCAACCTGGAGGTGAGGGATGGTGGCACCAACGTCATCGTCCCGGATGCCCAACGGGAGCACGGTGGCACCTACCGCTGTCTGGCCAAGAACCGCTTTGGCACCGTCACTGCCAGCATCGACGTCCTCTTCCAAGGTGAGATGTGACCCTGGTGGCACCAAGTGGCACCTGGTGGCACCCGGTCCCACGCTGGGGCTGGGTGTCACGGCACGGTGGTGGCACAGGATGGAGGTGGCATCTCCTGGGGATGCCAGTCCTGGTGGCACCCAGTTCCACACCAGGGCTGGGTGTCATGGAATGGAGGTGGCACAGGGTGGAGAAGGGGATGGAGAAGGGGATGAAGATGGCACCTCCTGGTGATGCCAGTCCTGGTGGCACCCGGTCCAACGCTGGAGCTGGGTGTCATGGCACGGTGGTGGCACAAGATGGGTGTAAGGGGTGGAGAAGGGGATGGAGGTGGCACCTCCTGGGGATGCCAGTCCTGGTGGCATCTTCTGGTGATGCCAACAGCACGTTGGTGGCACAAGTTGGGTGCAAGGGGTGAAGACGGGGATGGAGGTGGCACCTCCTGGGGCTGCTAATCCTGGTGGCACCTCCTGGTGATGCCAACTCTGATGCCAACAGCACGTTGGTGGCACAAGGTGGGTGTAAGGGGTGAAGAAGGGGATAGAGGTGGCATCTCCCGACGATGCTACTCCTGGTGGCACCTCCTGGTGATGCCAACTCTGATGCCAATAGCACGTTGGTGGCACAAGGTGGGTATAAGGGGTGGAGAAGGGGATGGAGGTGGCATCTTCCAACGATGCTACTCCTGGTGGCACCTCCTGGTGATGCCAGTCCTGGTGGCACCTCCTGGTGATGCCAACTCTGATGCCAACAGCATGTTGGTGGTACAAGATGGGTGCAAGGGGTGAAGAAGGGGATGGAGGTGGCACCTCCCGGGGATGCCAGTCCTGGTGGCATCTTCTGGT